AGACTTTTCGTTCTTGTTATCGTATTTAATTTAGGCGACACCGGTCTTTGCTTGGTCAGTGCTTTAAGGAAAAGAATATAATACTTAAAATATTAATATAATTTATTAAAATAAAGTAAACAAAGATTTGTTTGTACATTCGGCGAGCGGTCCTACCTGCGAGCGGCCCGGAAGGGCCCGCTTGACGGCTAACTGTGGCGTGAACGGAATGGCTCGTAAAATCGACGCTGGATTTTTCGTTCAGGCCCCGTCGGGCCTAAGAAAGGACCCACATGACGACCAACTGTAGCCTAACTGTGAACGGAATGGCACGTAAAACCGGCGTGGCGTTTAACGTGTTAACTCTGCGATAATTTCATCCTAGGAAATTCATACTACGATGACTAAAATTGTCACGTGTCAACTGTGATCCAACGATACCGTCGAAAAGCAAAAATCTAACTATCCTCTGATCACGTGGAGTCTCTGTCGAGACTCGTTCATGCAAGGCACGCGACGTTAGCATCGCGCACACGAGTCATCTTCAACCATACTGAAATTCGTGTTCTTCAATGCCCATCCTCTCCCAAGTAGGCCTGCCGCTCCTGGTACAGCGGAGCATAGCCCGCCAGATTCAGCTGGTGGAGACTATCGGAAAGGGTCGCTTTGGCGAGGTCTGGCGTGGTCGTTGGAGGGGTGAGAACGTCGCCGTGAAGATCTTCAGCTCGCGCGAGGAGAGGTCTTGGTTCAGGGAGGCCGAAATTTATCAGACGGTGATGCTCAGGCACGACAATATCCTAGGGTTCATCGCTGCCGATAACAAAGGTACGTGTAAAGCTACACAGATGCGTTACTTCCTCGCTGAATCGAATTCCGAAGGGCCAGCCGATTCGAACGAACGTATGAAGTATCTTCGAGAGAGACTTGCCGAGCATTCGCGAGAAGATGGCTAGCAGTATAGCACAGGAATAAGACGAACTATATTCGCTCCTGACTTCACCTTCCATGCTCTCGAAATGGCTACTTTTAGGTCCTTGTAATATATCATGTATTAATAATTCGTACCTCTATATTTATGCGCTCTATTCGGATCTTGATTTCAGCTAATGACGAAAATTGTTACACTCTATTTATACGATAGACTCTTGAAAGGTGAATTTATTCATCGTCTCTGTCAAGCTTTGGCATTTGATTGGATGAAGCTTCCAGTCGATAATGAAAAGTCTCCTGTCCTATTTTTATGCTTTTTCCATGGAAGGTGATTTTATCGCGACATTATCTGTCTTTATTTCTTTGCCTAGCCATCTTCTGGTAGATGATCGGAATATAGGTGTCTATTACGCGAGACATCGACAGTGTTGTTTTCAGTATACCTGATAGATCGCTGGTCACGAGACTAAACTGCTGTTCAGAGGTTTGGTATCGCGTGTCAGTTGCTGTCGAGGCTATTGGGTTTATGACGCGGCCTCTGAGAAAGCTGTTTTTCGGAAATTTTTACGAGAGCTACAATTCGACCTAGAAGTTAGGGTTCGAGGAATTATTTTATGGACACGGAAGGTGTACGTTTCTCTGGGCCATATAAATCGCCAGGACCTGGCGTCTGCACACTCGATAACGACAGACGTGTCATAAACCCGTGGCATAGCGTATAGACAGTTCGTGGAGTCGGATTTGGTCCCTTTGTTGACTCAAGCCACCATCTTGTTCATCCCACAATTATCAGCATGGGCGAGATGCTTGGGTTCTTATCCTTAGTTAGGGCTACCTAAGTCTCGAGACTACAGATTTGAATCAGAAATTGCAAATTTTTTGTTACATTATGTATTCAGAATTTTTAAGAGAGGTATCTAGATACCTCTAAATTGCAAATTTTGAGGACATCAGAAATTTAAATATTATAATATTGTATATTATTTTTGTCGCGGATGTTCGAGGAACGAAGATAAGAATATTTCGTACAAGATGTTTTTGGTTTAAAATCATGCTTCAAGAATAGTGGGAAAGTTTTATCGGGTTTCCGGCCGGGACACCCCGTAGAATAGCCTTTTGTACTGGCGGATGTCCTGAATAATACTCATAAGTACAATGGAAACTGTGTTGAGCGTAGTGTGGCCCATTTTAAGTTATAAATACCGAATCGAATAAGAATACGACGTGTCCTGGTTCGATAGATTTTCCGAGGGACATAGGGGGTAATAAACTTGGCGAAAGTATCGATAGTGTATCGTTTAATGCGAGGTCGAACGTCGGGACAACTTGTACGCTGAACCCTACATGAATCATTTGGTAGATCACTGGAAACGTTACGTTAATTGCTTATAAATTATCTTTAATTGCTATATCAACTGCATGGGTCATCTCACGCGTCCCTTTTTCGAGTACTTATCGTTAAAGACCTCGCGATTACCATTTTTCACCCTCTCATTTTCTTTAATTCCAATCAGGTTCTGCCTATACGTTATTTCCTATTTAACCCATTTGCATCGTGATTCTACTTAACACTAAACGTACCGGTACTTTACGTGTACCTATTCTTACCACAAGGGGTGAAATGACCCCTCGTGATACATAAGGCATGCAAAGAATTTTTCTCGGTAAAAAATAAATTAAGAGAAAAACGGAAAGCGAGAAATTAAATAATCAAATAATATAAGAATTTATAGAAAGTCAGATGAAAGTCAGAAAGAAATAACAATAAATGTATTATTATACAGTAAATTTTGAAAAGGATCATTTAAACCCGCTTGGTACGTTTAGTGTTAAGGTACCGTGTTCAGGCATCAGCAACGTTCAAGTGACGACTGGCCTGTATCAGCACTTATGCTCATAATGGCAGTTAAAAAGATTTTCACGACAAAAGTAAAACTTGTTAAGAATACAATGGACCGATATAGGTGAGATGCTCACGAAAGGGATCAAACGTGATCTGTGGCATACGAAGAATATTCGGCAATTGGTAATGCAAAAATGTCAGCTTTATTTAATTACTATTGACGACAGTCGTGGCTCGCGGAATATTCCGCGCTTGGATGCAAATGGGTTAACATTAGAATTACCAGATTATTGACCCCTTGCACTCGGCAATTTTTTTCGTCACAGAAAAATAATAATTCGAAGACTTTCTACCATAAAATCGACGATATTTTTAAAATGGTAAATAAGAAATCGTATACGAATTAACCCTTATCGGTCGTCAGTCACCTTTCACGTGACAACAGTACTCTATCGCTGTGGTTGTGCGTCACGTGGCTTGCGACAAGACGGAAATCTTTCGCATATTTACCGAAACCAGTTACAACCTAGCGAGAATCACGTATGAAAAGCTAGCGTCCGATAAGGGTTACGACGTAGAATTATTTTACTTCGACATTCTACACGCATCGTTGGGTAATTTCGAATTCGATATATTAATTAACGCTACGTCTAATCGGGATTCTTTTGCCCGTGATACCGACGTGGTACCATTTGCCCATGATACCACGTGGTGCCACCAGATGGCATAGCGTTAACATCCATCTTTAGAATCTGATTAAATGGCGACTGGGGGTCGCCTCTCGAGTGCAGAGGGTTAGAATAACTTTCTCGAAAATGATTTTCATTAATGAAAAACCCAAGTTATTTACCAAAGATTCAATCTTCAATCAAGAAACGTAAAGGGGGGATTAGAATGAAAGTTGTTCGACGTAGTGGAATTTATAGTAATCCTAGATACAACTTGCGTCCCCAGATAATGGCACGTGGACCCAGCTGTGGCTGATCACGGATTATCACGAGAAGGGCTCCCTGTTCGATTATCTGAACAGATCGACCGTGGACACGAACGGTATGATTAGGATGGCCCTGTCGATCGCCACCGGGCTGGCGCATCTTCACATGGACATCGTCGGCACGCAAGGGAAACCAGCCATCGCTCACAGGGATCTCAAGTCGAAAAATATCCTCGTGAAGACGAATGGTACATGCGCGATCGGTGATCTTGGATTGGCCGTCAGGCATGACGTAATAACAGACACCGTCGATATCCAGCTGAATAATCGGGTCGGCACTAAGCGGTACATGGCACCCGAGGTAATTTATAAATAAAGAAAGATTAAAGAAAGCTTCATCTCGTGCTTTCTGCATGCATCCTGATCATTCCCAGGTGGGAATCTTCTTTTATCATTGAGAGAACAGAAATATCGTTTTAATCATTAGTAGAGAGTACACGTTGATTAACTCCTTGGGGTACGCTGGGATTAACACTGAACGTACCAAGCGGGGTAAAGTGACCCTTTTAAAAATTTACTTTATAAATCGTACATTCATTGTTATTTGAAGGGTCATTTGACCCCCTATGTTAGGAATAGGTGTGTGTAAAATATTGGTACGTTTAGCGTTAAAAGTGTCTCACCTTTTTGACGCACCGTAATGCATGCTGGGACATTTTCAGTCCCACCTCGAAATATTGCAATAGCTGTATGTGCATAGATTTATATTTCGTCCTATTGATGTAAAGCAGTTGGTAATACCTTCAACAAATGTTATAAATGTATTCGCTCGTGTTGACAACATTCAATGTGTCAGTACAGGTTCATCAATTGTTGCAAGCGGAAGGTTTATTGCGACAATCTTTTTTCTCTGGTTTTATGCTTTTACATTACGTGATTCCTCTATTAGTAAAAATATACCAATTTTGTTTCATTTAAAACGCAATAAAATTTCTATGCAACATGAGTCTATTCTATTATCTGAAATCCTGTGCCGCAAAGAGTTAAACCGAGGAATTAACCCTCGCTCTGTAACGTCAGATGATGTACAAGTTGCATACTCCTGTATCTATATGCATTTATATTTGTCAAGCTTTATTTTGTATACTTCACGATATATTGTTATACTAAATCATCATATGCATTATGAAAGTGGTTCAAGTAAAAATTTAAAAGAAACGAATTTTTCTTAAAAGTCTATTCAGGATTGTAACTCGAGATTATAGTTGCGTTATAATTAATCTTTCAATTTATATAAACTCGAAACGAGCTATATCTGACTTGAGCCACTTTCGTAATCACCGACACATACCACTGTACTAGTACTGAATAATTTATTCATCGCAACTATTAATTCTGATTTTTAATTCTCAGTCCAACGTGACAAATTAGCATATCGTGTTATAGAGTAATCGATAATCTCAGTTTTCCATAATCCTGCATTTGTATATAGACATTTGTTGACTTGGTGCTTCTGTTAATCAATGTTTCTTAGATATCCTTTGCTTCCGATACACTCGCATTTACACCATCACTTTCTCCGGACGGTTTTCCAAAGAATAAGAATGTATAATCGAATCTCAAATTTGAGATTCCTCAAATTTTTCAATTCTGAGATTTCAGGCTGCGCCTGAAAAAGGACCGTGCAATTTCGAGAATTGAAAGGGCACGACATTTTAAGAAACACCATTCATCATTGAAACGGGACGAATTAATATCGCCATGAGACATGTTAAAGCATATGGTAGAAAGAAAGATAGAAAAGTGAACTCGCGATGCCGGTGCCCGGGCTTTTCCCTCCGGAGAAAGTTCCTCCTCGAGAGTGCGGCTCCTGAGAATTGTTGCTTCTGCTTTCAGGTTCTCGAAGAGACGATAAACATGAACCACTTTGATTCCTTCAAGAGGGCTGACGTGTACGCTCTCGGGTTGATCCTCTGGGAGATCGCGAGGCGATGCAACGTCGGCGGAATTCACGACGAATATCAGCTGCCGTTTTACGACTTGGTGCCTTCCGATCCGACGATCGAAGAGATGCGTAAAGTTGTGTGCACCGACAGACAGAGGCCGTCGATACCGAATCGGTGGCAGTCGATCGAGGTACGCGTGAACCTCTGGCAGAGAACAGTTCTTGGCTAGGGTGACTGGGGTCTAGCTTAAGCTTTATGTCGACAGTTCGCTGTTTATATTCAGGCTGTTCCATACAACTGGGACAAGATATGGATTCAGATATGGTAGGATGTAGGAAGAATTTCATTAGGCAAGATAAAGTGGTTTTGAATGGTGTATTAGTGGATGTACGTGAAAGGGGTTGCTTTGCTGGGGGAGTCGTTTTGAAGATTTCAGGGATAGTTTTATTTTATTAGACAGGCTACGTTTTTTTTAGCAGAGCAATTGATGGGTTGCTGGTATTCTGTGTTAGGAGGCATTGAGGTACTTGGGGTTGGAAGTGATCAGTTTGAAAGATATTTTAGGGTTTAATCTTGTGAAATATGTATGGCAAGGAACGTGGAAATGTAATGTCAGCAATCTGATCAATATTTAACGATTCCGAAATAAATCTTGCTCCTGGTAATCATGCAGAGTGTAGCTATTTAGGTGACAGGTGTATGCCTACTGATCTAAATAATTAGATATAGATATCTAATTAGAATAATTAGAATAATTGCTAATTACTTTGGAGACTTTTGTACTGATTATAATTCTATTTTATTAATGAAGATTAATTTCCTAATATTAAATCTGATTTAGCTAGTTGTTAGTATTAATGGTATTAATACTAACTACTTTGAAATACTCATACTCATACTCGTACTTTGAATAATCATAATCTGCTTTGCGATAATAAAAATGGAGTATTATAGGATCGCTATAGCAAAAGTATTTTATAATGGTACTTACGAATGAAGCTGGAATTATTTTACATATTTCATGATAATCGTCGACAGCTTTACGCAATCTGTGATCAACGTGCCAACGTTTAACCTTCTTTTCCAGGCGTTACAAGTGATGTCGAAGGTGATGAAGGAGTGTTGGTACCACAACGCGGCAGCTAGGCTAACCGCGCTTAGGATTAAAAAATCTCTCGCAAACTACGGCGCGATGGAGGACCTGAAGTGAAAAGAGGTGAATCAGCAACCGATCGTCGTCGAAACGACCGGGAAAATGGAAGTGCTCGAAACACACATGGACACTCACTTTAATTGTAACACTTTTATCGCAATAAAACTTTTAAGTGCCGTGTTACTGCGCGCGAGAAAGAGAACGAGAGCGTGGAAGAGAGAAAGAGCGAAAAAGGAGAGATAGATAGAGTGAATGAACGAGTGCGAAAGAGACAGTGAGAAAGGGAGAGAAAGATGTAAGACGCTCGGTCGAAATGAGAAATTCTAATAGTTGAAGCAGAGAGCCTAACGAAAGACTGGTTAAAAAAAAAAGAAAAAAAGAAAAAAAGAAATAAATAAAATCGAGACGACGTTCCTTTAATCGCGTTGACTTGGTCGTGTCGTACTCTAATTTCGAGTATCAGCTTGTACGCGTGAGATAGCAGGATTAGTCTATGTAAAAGAGAGGTCATAGTCAGACAACTCGAAGGATGTTCCTTTTTTCTCTTCTTTCTTTTTCGAAAAGAGAAAGAAGGGAGGAAGGGAAACACGTTAACGAGCATTGATTGACAGGAACACGAACAGGGTCGGCGATGAACGTCCAAACGATGGAATATCGTGGCGTTTTGCCTGGACGATCGATCGATCGATCGATCGATCGGGAGAAAGGGATAAATAAACACGCGCAACGTGTTCGGTTAATCGAATACGATATCATGCCTGGTCACACACATCACACACCTCTGCTGTATATTTATTAATAGTAACGATAAGATAATGAAGTATATAAATTTATTATATAGCGACGTTTATTGAGTAATATTAATGAATATTAATAAATTTGTATATTAATATATACACACGTATAATTATGTATATTCGTTATCGGGCCATCCGATTCGATTAACCGAACTAATTTGTTTATCGACTGGTTCATAATCGGGAACCATTTCAGCTAGACGATATAGTAATTAATTATCGTGTTTGATCGATCGATCGATCGACGACCATTCCCGCGAGGTGGACTTTCCTCGTCACGCGAATTTTCGTTGTGTACGATCCGAACGACTTCACGAAAAAGAAGAAAATGGCCTGCGTGTCGGAACAAATTTTTCTACATTTTTACTCTATTCCTTGTTCATTTTTCTTTCTTTTTTTTTTCTGCCTTTTGAATTCGTACGTCGTGTTGTATAGATTGAATAGCCTGTTTTGTCGGTGCGATTATGTTTCTTTCTTTTTTTTTTTCTTTTTTTTTTTTCTTCTTTTTTTGGGAGCATATACCATACACAACGTGTTACAAGAGAAATGCATATCCTTGTTTCTCGTTTTTGCGATTAAACAGAGTCGAGTATCTGCGTCGATTCTGCACGTGTATACAGGGTAGCTAGAAAGAGCCGAACAATTTATGGTTATCGAATAGAAACGACCACACATAGTTCAAGTATACGTGGTTCTGTTTTTCTTCATAAGAGAAACTAAGATGAACGCGGACGTTAATACCAAAAGAAAAAGATAAAGTAATAGCACTTTTCCTACTGCAACTTTTTAACCAACCTTTTTCTCCTTTGTCGAGCCGAAACAAGTAATATTTTCCACGTATGCTCTATTTCGGAACGCTAACTTTCTAACTCTTCTCAAGGTTTTTACAACGAACGACTTTTTCCATCATGACTTCCGGTTTGGTTCGTTAACCGCATATTACACACACACATGTACACGTGCACACGTACACGTACACCCATACGAACACACCCGCATACACGAACACACGTATTCTTAGCGTTAGACATACCCAGATGTTTTGCTCAAGACGAAATATTTTTGCGTATTAATCGTGATACGCGAGCTGAAGGCGGTGCGTCATGATACGCGGGACTTTCGAAGCGTGTTTCCTTTGTAACACAGGAAGGCTGAAATTGAAGGGTGCTAAGCTCAAGAATGAATGTATCGTTTACGCGTGAAAGGGACAGACTGAGCAATTGAGGAACGTGAGATAGAGAATGGAAGAGACAGACTGCGAAATTACGACTGAGAGATAGCGAGAAAGAGGTTTTTGAAGGAGAACAAAAGCGAGATAGAGCGAGATAAGAAAGCGAATTGATAATGAAAAAAAAGAAAACAAAAAATAAAAAAAAAAAACAAAAAAACATTGGAGAAACTATATTTTCGGGAATTTTTTCATGGATCGGTGAAAGGGAAACAGGGAAAGA